TTACTTACTTATTTATTTTGCGGAACCAGGGATTGAACTGAGGCCCTTGCGCTTGCCAGGGAAGTGCTTATTCCACTGAGCCATCTTCCTGACGCTAAGGTCATCTATTGGTGTAGATTAAGTAATAGTTCTTGGGTTAGGTTTGTGGTGGTGTTGTAACAGCATTAATGGCCCCACACTTTCAAGATATGTTCAGAAGCTAATATTTACCCTCACTTTTTTTCGAGACTGGGTTTTATTATGTAGCCCAGGCCGGCCTTGAACTCAGTGATCCTTCTGCCTCACCCTCCCAAGTGCTGAGATTATAGGCCTGAGCCATTCTGCCTAGCCTATCTTCACAAGATTAAATGATGCTCTATTACTAATTCATGGGGGATTAAAACAGTATCTAATAGCATTGTTCAAATAATTTTTCTGCCAGACATGGATGGGCAGAAGCCTTTGCCGGTATCAGAAGTTCACACATCAAATATATCTGCCCACACGCGTGAGTATTGCCAGTCTTTAGGCTTTTGCTGTAGAATCTGGGGAGGAATAATTGTGCTGGCTTGGGCTTTTCAGAAAAGCCTTTGAATGTGATTGACTTTTATTTTTTGTTCTTAAATCACTTTAAGAACAAAGTTTAGTGGACTTCATTAAAACTACAGTAGTCTTTCATTTTTTTAAAATTTTATTTATGTGTGTGTGGTGTGTGTGTGTGTGTGTGTGTGTGTGTGGCCAGCTCAGCCCACCACGGGGCGGGGCTGGCTGGCATGTGGTGCTGGGGGATTGAACCGTGGACCCTGTGCTTTGCTAAGCTTGTTCTAAGTAGGTGCTTTAGACCACTGAGCCATCTCACCAGCCCAGTCTTTCATTTAAATTGAAGAATTTTTTTTGAGAAATTAAAAATATTCTCCTACAGGTCAATTGAACATAAAGCCAGAAAAATTGTTTTCAACATATAAATATCTATCAAGTTCTAAGGACACACAGGTCATCCGTGCAGGGAATTTGCATGCCAGATTTGTGAGAGATCTTACTGTATTGAAAACATTCTTGTATCTTATCAGTTAGAAGCAAAGTAATAGATAACTGTGGCTAGAACACAAAACCTTGAGTACCCTACATTTGTTTTCAATTTCTGGCTCAAAAAATATGTAGGGGATGGTGGTTCTCAATTGGGTTAATTTTATCCCAGCAAAAGAAGCTCTAGTTTAGCCTTTAATCTACCTTATAGATAGGAATACTAAGGCTGAGTTAACTCTACAGGATTCTGCCTGAGATGCCTCACTGCTTCACTCCTTCCCCACCCTTGTGAAGATGTTGTAAGCATAAAAGAGATTTGAGAAAAATAGAACTAATTGCAAAGAAGAAGCCTTTGACTTTTAAGACTACCACAGCATTCATACCTAGTGGTTGCCATGGAAATCAAGAAGGGATTTAAGCAGAGACTAAACAAACAAAGAGGCCAGACTTGTTTCTTATCTCTAAAGATCAATGAAGTGGGATCAGACCTGTAAGATCTGTAACCCACAAAGGGTCTGGTGGCAGCCTTATTTCTGCTGACTAGCCTTATTAATAAACTTTTTTTCCCAATTTTCAGTCTGATGTGAAAATAATCTCACTGTTTCAGATGTTTATGAATGCCAATAAGAAACTAGCAAGTTTTGAGCAACTGCAGAAAACCAGTAAGCTTGACCAGTGTTAGGTCAAAGGTTGCTGAGCTGTAGTAACCAGGAAAAAGGCAAAGAGATTAGATATGTGTTAGTAGGTTAGTGATTCAGCTTCACAGGTAGTTGTAACTATTAATAGAGTTGAGACAGATACATGAATAAAGGAAAAGAAATAATACTTGAACATTAGGGAAGGAAATTTTCCTTTCTTTTTTTCTTTCTTTTTTTTTTTTTTGGTGGAACCAGGGATTGAACTCAGGCCCTTGCGCTTGCCAGGCATCCTTTCACTTTTTGACCTGAAATAGTC